GCCTGGGTGACTGTCAGACAGATGCCCAGGCCGCAGAGGAAGCCTGGGTGATTGTCAGACAGATGCCCAGGCCGCAGAGGAACCTGGGTGACTCTCCTGATAGCTGGTCAGTCTGTGCCATTTTTAACACTCACGGAAGCTGCTGGCTCTGCACTTTCTGTTTACTCAGGTAAAATGTACCCTTGTCAGGTCTCTGATGGGGTTGAAGGTCAGTTTAACAACAGAAACCAAGGCTCCCGCTGCCGGGTCAGTACTCTCCACGTGTGAAAATCAGACCTCAAGCCTCAGTCTCCAAGAGCTGTGATTGCTCAGTCTAGACGGGAGTTACCAGTTACCAGACTCATGAAACAGGGTCTCAAAGTAACGTTTTACTATTCCTTTATCTAAAGAGACTCGATTTACAATGACTGCGCCAGTAATCAGCCATCTGTCTTGTGGAGAATCGTCAGGTAGGAAAAAAAATGAAGTTTATATAAGGTCTGAGGATCTAAAAAAATGTTTTAGAGTCTAAGAAGATATTTTAAGGTTGATAAATGCATGTTACGAAGTTTAGAGGAGATGAGACCTTTAATGATGCTAAAAAATGATTTAAGAAATAGAAAAGAAATAAAACATGCTTCAGATTTCTTCCCCTTGCTAGGCTACTATTATATTAAGACTTCAAAGTTCCTGAAAATAGAAATTTTCCCCTGGTCTTGGGATTCTTCACCTTCCCCCAGTTATTAGAAAATGTTAATTCTGTCCTGAGCCCATATTTGCCTCATCAGGTTTTCACTTGGCTGATGGACTCTGTCACCTTCTGACTGCAGACTGCTGAGCTCCGGACTTCCTGGATGGTGATGTAAACCAGGCCAGCCAGTGTGCTCGCTCCCTGTCTTTCAGCTGGATAAGCGAATCAGATGCCTCTGATAAACGCCCTGCCTTTCGTTCGGCTTTCAGCTTCCTGGGCCACTCTAACAACGTCCTAATGTCAGATGGAAGTAATTACAGAGCAGACTGTGTCAACCTTTGTCCCACCTGACAGGCTGAAATGCTAAATCAAAAGGCATAAGGGACAAATGTCTACCTCGAATGTCAGTTGACACACCAGCTTTCTCAGCTAATAGATTCATTAACTAAAATGGTTGTACAATAGGACACTTAACCTGATTTATGCTAAACAAAACGGTATTATGTGGCTTTTAAGACTTTTTTTTTTTGGGGGGGGGGGCAGGGTTTTTCTGTGTAGCCCTGGCTGTCCTGGACTTGCTTAGTAGACCAGGCTGGCCTTGAACTCACAGAGATCTGCCTGCATACGCCTCCCTGAGTGCTGGGATCACAGGCGTGCGCTGCCACACCAGGCACTACCTGTTCTTTTGCTTGGAGGGAGGACAAATGGTGTGACACATCAGAGCTAAAACAGGAGTGAGTCAGTCAAGCTGCAGCTCAGGGCCAAGCCTGAGGGAGGCGCCCAGGGCCAGGAGCCAAGCCAGACCAATCACATTAGCCACTAGGCCAAACAGCAGGCTGCCAGCACAGGCAGGCTTGAGTTCAAACCTGAATGCCCGGCTAGGAAGCCTGGCTCAGCCCTAAACTAAAGGCAGCTGCAGACTGAATGGAGGGTAGGGAGAAGGCAGAGGGCTGACCGTGGGGAGTCGCACCAACCCAAAACGTTCTCAGAGGCAGCTCTGAGAACAGAGCTCTAGCTCTGTGCTCTTGTCCAGCAGCGGACTTGGTAAGGCCCTGAGGAGCCACGGCTTCCAATGGATTGAAGCCGGAGAGCCATCTCTTCCCCCAGCTGAGTTATCAGTCCTAAGGCAGCTGTATCCTGTGTTCTCTTTGCCAATAGTATCAGCCTTAGCTCTCGGCTGACCTTGCCCCCCCACGCCTCTTCTGCAAATAGTGTATAAAATGCTGTACTTCTTAATAAACTCGCTTGACATAAGTCACCAGCTTATGCAAGACATGTTGTCCCAGCTGCTGCTTTTGTCTTTATTTCCTGTCTTCACTTCTCATCCCTAGTCCCCTCACTCACCTCACCACTCAGGACCACTATCCCTGCAAGTCTGGGTCAACTGGTGCAACCTGAGAGACTCTAAAACCACGAAGGCCAGCAGCGGACAGCCTGCCTGGACACCCACCTTCTCTCTCCCTACCCGCTGCCCAGGCTGCAGGGCTGGGTTCTTCTCCCTCCTCCAAGGGAAACAGCATGTTTGGGAGAAGGGAGGTGGCTTTGCAGACCCAGGTTTGAATTCTGGAGGCTCCACTTCCTGGCTGTGGCTTTGGAGCTGGGTCGCTAGCTCTCCCATGCAACATACTCTGTTGAAGAACCTGTGAGGCGTCAGCTAGTTTCTGGGGACTCAAGATGAGTGAACTGCCTTCAGGAAGCTGAGAAGAGAGGCAATAAACGAACAGTGACGTGGTTAGGGCGAGCCAGCCGGCAGTGGGCCACAGGAAGCCCCACCCTGGGAAGAAGTCTCAGCAAACACGGAGGGTCCAGGGAGAACCCACTTCATTCAAAAAATATGTAACAGGAGCTGGATGTGCTGGTGCAGACCTTTAATCCCAGCACGTGGGAGGCAGGGCAGGATCTCTGGGAGTTTGAGGTCAGCCTGGTCTACCGAGGGAGTTTCAAGACAGCAAGGGCTATGTGGAACACCTGTCTCAAAAAACAAAAACCAAAAAATCAAGAAAAGAAAGAAATGTATAATAGGAGAGAGCGAGCGAGCAAGCACGTCAGCGGTATGGTACTTGCCTACCCGGTTCTTGTCTCCACCTCCAGAAGCCAACCCCAGCACACACAAAGGTATAAAATTCTCCCTGTGGACCAGCTACCAAGCTGAGCCCGCAGAGAGGAGGACCTTCAGATAAACGGTCTTAGCAGGCACGGGGCTGTGTGAAGTGTGGGAGGCGGGCCCCAGACAGCAAGCCCGGCCAGGGCAACGGTAGAAACACAGGCGCTCACATGCTCAGAGCCCCGTGGGAAGCCAAGTGGGACAGCGCTTGGGCTGGACCACACCAGGTGACTCTCAGTGGACATTAACCCCACAGACGTCACAGCGGCCACGTGAGGATCCTGGCTTGCGTCACCTCCAGCTCAGCCGCTCAGCACGGTGCAAGGGGCAGCCATTTCTTGGAGAGCAGGGGACTGACCGGGACCTAGGCTGCCCAGCACCGTGACAGGCTGCACTGGGTGTGGCACTGGGTGTGGCACTGGGTGTGGCACTGGGTGTGGCAAATCCAATCCAGACTTCTGGACCGTGGGGTGCGGTTCTTCCCGATGCACATAGCTTTGGTACCGGTGTGAACGGGGCCTCTAAGTCTCAGGGACTTCCTGTTTACTATTGGTGTATCCCAGCTCAGTCCACACAGAGCCTACAAGCAGGCACATGCCCAGGCACAGTCTGCCAGGGCTTAGATCTTAGTTTCTAACACCCGTCTCCAGAAAAGGAAGCAAATTCCTCAGAGAGACAGGCTCTGAATGGTCTGGATGGGGTAGGGAGGGAGAGAAGGCAGGCAGAAAGGAAGCAAGAGAGGAAGGCAGGCAGGAAGGAAGGAAGGAAGGAAGGAAGGAAGGAAGGAAGGAAGGAAGGCAGGCAGGAAGGAAGGAAGGCTGAAGAGAAGCCAGGCTTTATGGCAAACACCTGTAACCCCAGCATTTGGGAGGCTGAACTAGAACCTGGATTAGCAAACAAAACAAACTGAAGAGAAAGCAGGAAGCAGTCAGAAAAGCTTCCCAGGGAACAAAGTGGAACAATTTAAGCATGAAAATGGATGATGACTTAACAGATCCTATGAGTCACGAGCCCATGGCTGCCCTCAGTGAGCCCACAGAGTGACAGTCACTGGAGGCTAGTCACAAACCTACAGCTGCCTGGCCAGAAGCAGAATGTAAGGTGTCCGGTGAAATTTGATGGGTTCAGCACAGTCACGGAGCCTCTGAAGGTCCCTCCACGAAGCTGATTATTTACGAAGATGGAAATGTCAGGTGGGGAAGGCCAGTAGCCCCCTTCTTAGCCAGGGGAAGCTGCTAACTGCAGGGTGGGAAGAGTGAGCCTTGCGCCTCCTGACAGACACACAGAGCAGACAGTGGTCCGCAGCACCGGTACCCACAGTGCCCTGTGCAAACAGCACTGCCCGAGTTTAACCATGAGGAACCCAACTGGGAAGACAACAGGGCCGTCCCTAAATTATCTATGTCATGAAAGACAAAGAAAGGCCAAGAAATCATTCTCCGTTAAAGCTGCTGGCAGTCTGAGCCATGCTTGCTGTTCTCTTCACAGCATGCTAAAAATAAACGAAGGAAACAAACAAGTGAAAAGGCGGCCTAAAGACAATGACAACGAAACGTATGACCCTGGACTGGAAGGGACAGCGGCTGCAAAGGACGGTGTAAGGACAGCTAGGGACCTCTGGCTGCTGCTGCTGGAATTGTTTGGAGCGACTGCCCAGATGTGACCACTGCCCAGCAGATGAAGAGCTGTGAGGGGCACACCTGTAACCCCAGCTGTCAGAATCAGGAGTTCAAGGCCATTCTGGGCCATGTGAGACCCTGTGCGGGGCGGGCAGCCCTTGTTCTCAGGGGCTCTTGTGCTGAAGCAGGTAGGGTAAAGGGTTACTGCCTGCCCTGTCCAGGGCTGAAGTTCCAGGAGCCTGGCCTTCTCTATCAGTGCTAGGGAATCCAAGCGTAGGTTCTCAGGACACAGCAGGCCGAGAACCACAGAGGAGGCTTACTACACCATCTCTCCACTCTCTCTCCCTAAGTGTTATGTACTAAATCTGAATTCCCACTATCAGGGTTAAGCCATGTGTGGCATTTAGAAGTGGGACTTTCAGGAAGTGATTGGGTTAGAATGAAATCAATTTATCAGAGCACAGCTCTGTGACCGGATCCTGGAGCCTTTATAAGAAAATGGAGTGGGGCTAGGGAGATGGCTCAGCTGGGTGCGTTCTGCAGCCCAGGAATGGCACACGCCCTCCATCCCAGCACTCGGTGGCAGGTGCAGACGGATCTCTGAGCTCAAGGCCAGCCTGAGTGAGCTCCAGGACAGCCAGGGCTACACAGAGAAACCCTGTCTCAAAAACAAAAGACACTTGCTGTTCTTGCAGAGGGGCCGAGTCCAGTTCCCAGCACTGGCATCGGGAAATTCACAGCGCCCAGGATTCCAGCTCTAGGGCATCTGAAACCTTCTGGCTTCTGAGGGCACCACGGACAGGACACACACACACACACACACACACACACATACACACATAAAATAAATCCTAAAGGGAGGCGTGTGGACAGTTAGGTGTGCTTGCTCTTCGTCCAGAGGCCCGAAATTGAATCCCCTCTGCCCCTGCTGGGCAGTGCACAGCCTGTGATTCTAGCTGTAGAGCAGCGGTCCTCAACCTTCCTAAGGCTGCTCCCCCCAATACAGTTCCTCATGTTGTGGTGACCCTCGTCTATAAAATTGTTTTTGTTGCTACTTCATAGCTGTAATTTTGCTAGTGTTATGAATGGTAATACAATACCTATTTTCCAGTGGTCTTAGGTGAGCCCTGTGAAATGGCACCATACGGGTTACAGCCACGGCTCTGGAGATCCGCTCTGGCTTCGTTGCGGCAATGCACACATCCATGGCATATATACATGTGTGCTCACACACCCATAAAACAAACAAACAAACAATAAAAGGGGGAGCAACAGAAGACAGCGTATGTGCTCACACGTTGATGCGTTCAGACCCACTGGGAGTGGCCGAAGACTTTAGATTAAATGAACGTCTTCTTAGTGCTGGCAGGAGGGCAGTCTGAGAGCCGGACGCATGCTGTGCCAAGGGGCCGCTGAAGGAAGGTTAAAAAGGTGGGTCTCGGGGCTGGAGAGATGGCTCAGTGGTTAAGAGCACTGTCTGCTCTTCCAAAGGACCCGGGTTCAATTCTCAGCACCCACATGGCAGCTCACAACTGTCTATACCACCAATTCCAACGGATCTGACACCTTCACACTAATACACATAAAATAAAATAAATTATAAAAACAAAACAAAAAAAAAAAGGTGGGTCTCAAAGTGTGCACTGCCGTTCTCCACAGAATCCGGAGCTGGGCAAGGACACTGCCTCACTCCCCTCAGCGGTTTCTCTTTCCCATTCTTCACCCAGACCCACAGCGATAATGAGCTTACCAAAGTAGAAGGGGTTAAATCCCTCACGCAGGGCTGCCTTACCTCAGTCGCCTCTCACCTGTCGCCTCGTGGATCACACAGGCATTCCAGACCAAAGGCCAAGGGCCCTTCAGGGATGCTGGTACCATATTAGTCACCACAGGGGAGTTGGGTGTGAATTATGACACAGGCCTGAGCACTCTGGGGAAAGCGTCACTGACTGGGACAGGGCAGGCGACAGCACAGCACCATTGGTTAGAGCTGGGACCTCAGCAGATGGACTCCTCAGTCACCGGACCACGAGACAGCATGAACCTCCTTCTGTGACACTGCTCTACTGGCAATAGGGAAGAGGCTGCCATGGGGCAGCAGCTTGAGAAGAGTCTCACCACAGTGAGGCAGAGGGTTTAGGGGTCATCACAGATGAAGTGAGGCCTCGAGTTGTTTGTGACTGAGCGGGCGACGCTCACACATTTGGATGGAAGGCGAGTGGTGGTGCAGGCCTCCCGTGAGCCTGTGCTAGCTCATTCCAGACCGTCCTGGCTTTAGCACTGATGGCCCCTCAACCTGGAGACCTCTCCGCTTGGAGCAAGGATGACTGCTGTCCACCCGAAGGCCGTGGCCCTCGCTCAACATTCCTCAGCCACCCCCACCCGGGGAGGTAGGAGGGCAGGTATTCCTTTCACAAACTCAGCTGACCCTGGGACACAGTGGCCAGCGAGATGACTCGGGGACTCATGGAATCTCCATGGAAGATGCTTGAAGGTGACGTGAAATCCCCTCAATGAATGTAAGGAATATTAATTAAACAAGGCTTAGGAAACAAAAGTAGAAAGGCCTCTCTCCAGGCATGGTGGCGCACACCTGAAATCCCACCACTGGGGAGGCAGAGGCAGGCAGATCTTTGTGAATTCAAGGCCAGCCTGGTCTACAGAGCGAGTGCCAGGACCGCCAGGGCTACACAGAGAAACCCTGTCTCTTCCCCCCACCTCCCAAAAAACCCTCTCTTCCTTTAGTGTTGGTGTAGAAAATTTGGAAAACAAGGAAAGCAAAAGAAGGGAAAAGTCACACTGGCAGATGCTCCCTCAGTACTTTTCCTACACTTTCCCAGTCATTTCCCATCAGTCTCCGAGAAGAATGCAAGTCAATTTTAGCTCTGGCGGCAACCCAAGAACAAAAAGGTTAAGTGTGTTAAATTAATTTTTCAAGGCGAAGCTATGGCTCTGCAGATGATCCGCTGTCTCCGAGGGTCTGGTCCTCGTGTTTTTCCATTAGCAGGTGTGACTGGGGCCTGGCAATGACCCCCACTCCCGAGCACAGCTGCTGGCTGCAGCAAGGCTTACCTCTTCCCAAACCAGAGCGCTACGTGCGCCCCACAGAACCCCACGGACAGGGACAGTGGAGGTTCTGACGGGGAGGTCGATGCCTCACCCCACCACCCCACCTCCTCCAGGCGACCCCTAAGCAGCTTGCCTTTGCCTCTTCAGTAACGTCCACACTTCAGGGTCGTTAGGAAGCTGCGGTGCTGCTGGTGTTAACGAAGCATGGATGGTGTGTGGTCCACGCTCTTCCTCTCCTCTTCCTTCCCCAGCAGTGCCAGGCAGTGAACTCTACATGGATGAGGCACATTCCCCACCACTGGCCTGTACTCCCAACACACGGAATGGTGATCTGTTTTTTCAGTCTGTGTGTTTGAGACAGGGTCTCTCCATGCAGCCCCACTAGCCTCAGAGTGTCTGCCCGCTGGCTAGGACCACAGGTGTGAACCATCATGCCCAGATTATACTAATTATTTGGTTGTGGACGTGAACATGTACTGTTTGGCCTCCTTGTCAGTGTGACCTGGTGAGAGAGTCTAGTTTATAACCTCACCCCTCCCAAGTGCAACCCCTCCTTAGCCTCAAATGTGATGGAGGGTGAGGCTTGCTCCACCACCAGGCCTCCGGGTTTCTCGAAGGATGAGTCCATGTATGAACTGGTGACATGGCTGCTCCGTGGTAAAGCTTTATTGTAGCCACGAGAGAGTGGACAGCCAGGAGCCTCTGGGAGAGTCTAGAGGACAGGGAGAAGTAAGCTGAACGTGTCCAGGAGCCCGGACATCGTAGGGCTATCTGGGAGAGAGCGGAGAATGCACAGCAGGGACAGAGAAACAGCGAGAGGGGCAGGAGCATAGAGCCAATGCAGCAGGAACAGCTGGGTTATAAGGAGAGTGAGTAGCTGGGGGGAGGTGAACCCAGAGCTGGAGGGCGCTTAGGGTGGCAGGAGGCCAGGAGGTCTAGGGTGCTGGCCTGGACCTGAAACCTGGGGCAGGTCTTGTGACACCAGCAGGAGCTCTGACGCTGGAGGCGCCACAGGTAGCCTTGTGCCTTTCTGCCAGAGGTAAGGGTGGAAGGTCACCTGTTTTCCAAATTCCTGAGGAAGGCTGGCTTTGAAGAAATTCTTGTATTGTCAGCTTGAGCTCATTTCTGGATATCTGAACTGCCTTTCCAGGCTTGGGGAATTGGAGTTTCCTTTGGACCTGAGAGTCTGAGGTTACAGCCCTATAGACATAGATCACCATGACCATGTTGACGAGGGCTCAGCTCTGCCAAACAGTGGGCTAGCACCAGACTCTCTTCTTTGTGTTGGTTAGACTTTTCATTGCTGCTACAGATACCCAGAAATCAAAAGGAGGAGAGACTGATTTGAACTCAGGTTTCCAAAGTCTCAAAGGTCCAGGTCCACGGTCATTTAACGCTGTTCCTGAGCCCCAGGCAGAGAACAATTGCTTCCCTCATGGAGGACAGGAAGCAGTAAAGGACAAACAGAAGGCAGGGCACAACCCCGGTGACCTACTTACTCCAACAGAGCTCTCCTTCACAGCCCCCCTCCTCCCACAGCCCCCCTTCCAAGTTTCAGTGCTGAGCTGGAGAGATGACTCAGCAGTTAAGAGCACAGTGTCCTCTTCCCAGGAACCGGATTCGGGTCCCTGCACCCAAATGGCAGCGATCTGGCGACCTCTTCTGGCCTCCATAGACACTGCTTGTCCGCGGTGCACAGACACACATGCAGGCAGACACCCAGCCACACAAAACTAAAAAAGAAATAACAGTAGGGGCTAAACACACACAGAGACCAAAGTTTGAATCCACCAGTCATCCGCTGAGGAAAGCAAAGCCCTCAAGCTCCAGCCACTTCTCAAAAGCCTACCTCCGCACAGCACCCTGGGGACCGGCCTTTGGGGGACACTTTCCATCCAAACCATAAACTCTCCATGTGTCTAACCCCACATGCCATACTAAGGAGAATATGGTAAAAGTTAAATTTCTTCTAAATTGGCACTTTATCAATGAAGTATTATTGTCGTGTTTTAGCTTACCTGTTCCCCTCAGTCATGAAATCATTCTTTAATTCTGCCTTCTTTCTGTCTTATACTCTTTACTGATATTATCTCCCATGACCTTACATGGTTTGTCCCTCTGAAACTCACATTGGAATTTAATCCCCATTAGGAGATAGGAAGAGGAGGGACCTGGTTGAAAGGACACGAGGGCCTGGCCCAAAGCCGTAGATCGATCGATCCATCCGTGCAGTGAATGAGTTAGTTGGTTATCTTCGGAATGGGCCGGCTATCAAGCCAGTCTGGCCTATCTCTCCCCACGTGATGTCCTGGCCTGCTTAGGACTTTGGCAGCAGGCTGGCCATCACAGTGTGGCCCTTCGACCTTGGACCGCGAGTCAAAGGAAATCAAGCTAAGCAGTCTCCAGTCTCGGGCAGTGCGTGGCTGCAGCAGAGAGCAGACGGAGACATCACACCCTGAGCATCCTTCAGACCGAGGCTTAGATGGCTCGGTCAGGTGAGGGACACGCACACCAGCGCCCAAGTCAACGCCGGCCGGGCAGTGCACACCCACAACCCCAGCTCCATGTTCAGCCCGTGATCCCAGCACTCAGAGAGGCAGAGGCAGGTGGGTACTGTGAGTTCGAGGCCAGCCTGGTCTATGAAGTGATTCCAGGACAGCCAGGGCTACACAGAGAGACCCTGTCCGGAAACAAACAACATACACATATAACACATACACACAATTTTACAAACTATGTTTTGTTTGTTTTAATGATTTATTTCATGTACATTGGTGTTTTGCCTGCATGCATGTCTGCGAGGGTGTCAGATCCCCTGGAACTAGATTACACAGTTGGGAGCTGCCATGTGGTTGCTGGGAATTGAACCTGAGTCCTCTGGAAGAGCAGCCAGTGCTCTTAACCACTGGGCCATCTCCCCAGCCCCCAAACTATCTTTTTTAAAAACTATTTTTTTTATTACGGGGTGGGGGGTGTTAGGAGGAGAAGCTGTGAACCCAGCACTCAGTCGGCAGAGGCAGGCAGATCTCTGTGAGTCTGAGGCCAGTCTGGTCTACAGATCAAGTTCCAGGACAGCCAGGGCTACACAGAGAAACGTTGTCTCAAAAAAACAAACCAAAACAAATCCAAAAAACCATCACCAGCCTCAATGGTGCACACCTGCAATCCCAGCACTCCGGGAGGCGGAGGCAGAGGCAGGCGCATCTCTGTGAGTTCAAGGCCAGCCTGGTCACAAAGGGAGGATGGGACAACCAAGGCTATGCAAAGAAACCCTGTCTCGAAAACAAAAACAACCCCCCCAACAAAATAAACAATAACATAAGATCTGAAAAGTCTCCTTTTTAGTGGCCTATGGGAAAAGCGTGTTTAGGTCTGTCAACCTGAACAAGCTAAAGTCATCTGGAAGACGGAATTTCAACGGAGAAAATGCTTCCATCACACTGGCCTGGAGGCAAGCGCTTTGGGGCAGTTTCTTGATTAATGATAGCTGTGGGAGGGCCCAGCTCTCTGGGGCGGTGCTGAGTTCCTGCGACCGGAGCCCCGTCCCCATCCCTGGCACACTGGCCTGGGTGAACGCCCGTCCACTTCTGCTTTCCCTGGCTCTCAGAGGCCCAGGTCTGGGGTGGCAGTGCGGGTGCCCGCCTGCTCACGCGCCGGACGCCTCTCACTTCTTGCTCTGCACTCCGGGGAGGCTGGAGTTTAATCGCACAAACAGTGTCCGGCTTCCTGTCCTCGTCCGCCCCCCTCCGGCCCGCTTCCCTGGCCCCTCCCTCTCCCCTGGCCCGATCCGCCCACCGGCTCCCCCTCCCCATCCCTCGGGTCCCGGGATGGGGGGGCGGTGAGGCAGGCACAGCCCCCCGCCCCCATGGCCGCCCGTCGGAGCCAGAGGCGGAGGGGGCGCCGGGGGGAGCCGGGCACCGCCCTGCTGGCCCCGCTGGTGCTCAGCCTGGGCCTGGCGCTGGCCTGCCTTGGCCTCCTGCTGGCCGTGGTCAGCCTGGGGAGCTGGGCAACGCTGTCTGCCCAGGTGAGGCCCTCGGCGTACCCCTCGCTGGGCATGCTAGGGGCAGAAGGTGCAGAGAAGCAGGCGGGGGCCGGGCGGGCGGAGGGCCAGGGCTGGAGGCCGCGGTGTCAGGACAAGGGCAGGATGACGCTGCCTCCCTCCCGGCAGGAGCCTTCTCTGGAGGAGCTGACAGCGGAGGAGCACCGGCAGGGCCCTGTGAGTAGGTGTGGGTGCCGAGTGCAGGTCGCCAGCCCGGAAGAGTGTGCCTGAGCCGAGGCTGTGGCTGCGTGTGACGGTTGAGCCGAGTGGTCAGCGGTGTGTGCATGAGGACTCTCACATGCACCAGCTTACCGCTGAGGGTGGGGAGTGAGCCAGCCCACGTGGGGACGTGAGAGAGGGCGATCTGGGTGAAGGAGGTGTAACTGTTAGCACAAGGTAAGGGTTTGCAGCCTGAGTGGTCCGCGCCGCCCGGCTGTGAGGTGACACCCAGACAGAGGCTGTATGAGTGACAGGTGTCGCTTGTGCACCACCTATGCTGTCTCTGCCCCACCTCCGTGTGTGTGTGTGTGTGGTGTGCATGTGTGTGTGTGTGTGTGTGTGTGTGTGTGCGCGCGCGCGCGCGCCTGTGTGCGAGCGTGCGCTCGCTCACGGTGGCTGTTTGTCTCTAGGAGGTTCTGTTTGAGCCCTGCCCTTAATCCCCCTAGGAACTGAATCCCCAGACAGAGGGAAGCCAGGATGTGGTGCCTTTCTTGGAAGGACGAGTCCGGCCTCGGAGAAGTGGTGAGCAGCCGTCCCTCTTTCCCAGTCTCAGGAGTGACGGGCTTGGACTTGGCCAGTCACTGCTTTCTTTGCTGCTTTGCTCTTCACGATAGTCATCTTACTACCAAGTGGGCAGGGCGAAGCTCTTGTTTCGTAGAGAAGCTGAGGCAGGGAGCATAAGGGAGTCAGACAGCTCCGAAGCTGAGGACAGTATCTGGGAACTGTAGCTCTGCCCCGTGAAGCTCGGTCTGCGATGCCCGCCTGCCTCCTATGGAGCCAAGCGCATGCCCAGGACCTAGAAAGACTCCCAGGGCCCTCCTGAGGGCAAGGTGGAGAGGAGACCTGGGCTTCCGTGGACAAAGACATTTATGAATCTCACTGATGTATACCCAAGTCTGGATGGATGAAGTTGCCCTGGTGTGGGTGTGTGTGCGTGCACGTGTCCGTCCTTGGCTGTGTCTGTGTGTCTGTGTGGTGGTGGAGCTAGGACCCGGAGCCTCGTGTGTCCTAGGCAAACACGCTGCCCCAAGCTGCGCCCCAGCCCAGTGTGATTATCAATGGAAAGTCACCTTTTCCTCTCAGAAGCTCATCCCAATTGGGATGACAAAGTATGTTGTCACTGTTTATGAAGAAGTTGGAGGTGTGATGGCCAGGTGTCCTATCACTAAGGCTGCCAGGGTCCTGAGCAGGGTGGGAGGCTGGGGGACCAGCTCCTGGGACCCAGAGAGATCCCCAGTTGGCTAACAAACCTCTGCTTCATTCTTAGCTCCTAAGGGCCGGAAGCCGAAGGCTCGCCGAGCCATTGCAGCCCATTACGAAGGTAGGTGACCTATTACAGAGGGGACAGGGGGCCGGGGGAAGGGCACGCCTCACTGCCCTTTGCTATGTCTTGCAGTTCATCCGAGGCCAGGCCAGGACGGAGCACAGGCAGGTGAGTCCCTGTGTCCACCTCTGAGCACCCCTTTAGCCCATCACAGTATCTCCCCCACAGCCCGGGAGAGAGAGAGCCCCCAAGATTCTTCCTCTCAGCATCCAGGCTGAGAACCCAGAAGTCGGCTTAGGAGAGTCCTCTACTCTCTGTGCCCTGGCCTGGCACCCTAGGAAGACCCTGCCCTCCGCAGAGCCCAGGCTAGCCCTTCTCCAAACCCGCTGCCCCAGCTTTCCCCTCCCCTCTTCTTTTGCAAGAAGAGCCTGTGCTCCCTTCTTTCTCCTTTCCCTCTGTGTTCCATGTTTTTTCCTGCTGTGTGATCGTCGCTTCTCCAGATGTCTCTAGTCTCTGCCCATCTCTGTCCCCCATATTGGCCCCGTGACCTCAGGACCCCAAACTCAGCTCTGCCCTTTCCCCATCAATTTCCTTGCCTCCCCACTTTGTCCAACCTCTGTTGCCAAGCTAAGCCCCACTGCCGCATTGCTTTTCTGCTTAGCCGCAGGCCTCTCTAGCTGTGGCCTTGACCTTACTTCCTGGCACTGGCTTGCGGGGCTGACACTCCTGTGCCCTAGTGGGCATCTTCTGGACTTTGCACATACAGTTCCCTCAGCTGGAATATCTTTCACCCTGAAGGCCTGGAGGCAAGACAGAGGCCCGGGCTAGGGTGTTAGTGGTAGAGGAGGGGAGAATTGGAGACGCAACATAAAGACGCAAGCTCGCTGTGGAGCAGCTGAAAACAGAGAAATGGAGGAATAACAAATAGCACCCACGTTGCTTTCTGTTTTGGGGACAGGGTCTTGCTGCTCCACCCAGGCTATTCTAAAACTCCTGGGCTCAAGTGACCCTCTTGCCTCAGCCTCCTTCACACCTGACTCGAATGTCTGAGAAGAGTACCTGAATAGCCTCAATACCTGAATGGATAATGCCATTCGCTAACAGGGAAATGGGTCCGAAGTTAATTAACTGTGAGATGTCCTACAAGGAACAGGTGGAGAAAATGGTTAGTGAGGTGAGTTTCCCCAGGGGCAGTTAGACTGGCTGAGGCTAGGTGAGAATGGTCATGAGGTTGCTGTTTAAAGCTACAGGAGGAGAAGAGACATGGGAGAGAGCGAAGCTGGGCAGAAGGGGAAGCCAGCTGAGGAGACGGGAAAGAAAGGACCTCAGGCAGGGCGGGGTCCGAGATCTCCGAGCTGACGGTTTCGGTCAGGAGGATGTGGCTGTGCGGGGGTGGCTGAGGTCACAGGAGACGAAGACAGTAATGTGACTGCAGCATTTAGCTGATGACATTGCGATCAGCTGATCACGTTAGTGGGTTGCCTCAGGACTGCGGAGCAGGGTGGTGTGGACCGAGGGCAGAAAACCAGAAGAAGGGAACGAGACAGTGACCAAGATGGTTGGTAGGTAAAGAGGGATGTGATGGGCATGGTGGCACACCTGTGATCCCAGCGCTCAGGGAGGGGAGGCAGAGGCGGGCAGATCTCTGTGAGATCGAGGCTGGCCTGGTCTATAAAGCGAGTCCAAGACAGCCAAGGCTACACAGAGAACTCTGTCAAGGGAGGAAAAAAAATGTAGGCCAAGTTATACCTCAGACCTTTTAGGGAAGACTGTATTCTTCCTGATGCTTTTGGGGTGGGGACTGGGACTAACAGACCCTCAAAGCTGCCATAGCAGGAACACACCAGTTACCCACACCATAAGTGAGGGTTATCCAGCTTGCCCAGACCAAGGCAAACCTCGATGGGCGAGGTGGGGGTCAAGGCCAGCCAGGACATGCTTAGGCGCTGAGCCTTCATGAGACCCCTTCAGGGTCTGAGTGCTGGTGTGAGTGTCCTGGGAACCACCACATTCTGAGCTCACCATGCCCTTTGGCCACAACCAGCCTCGCTCTGAGCCAGTCTGCACCCAGATGCCCTCTTTTTCTCCCCTTCCTGTTCTGCACGGCCGGGGCAGGACTCTTGTCCTCAGTCGGGACAAGTCCCAGGCTCAGCTCACTGGCTCAACACACGTGTCCCAGGAGCCTGCTATCTACCAGATAGTGGGGGTCCCACTCGCATACATTTGCCTAAGGATTCGCCACGGAGGAACGGCAGACAGTCTATAAATGTGTGATTGCAGCGCAGGGCGACAAGAATGGAAATAAGGTAGCCCAAGACACATGGCAGCACACAGGAAGACAGGGACTCATTCCCCTTGGGAGTAGCACTGAGGCCTTAGCAGGCCCCAAAGCCTAACTATATGGTGGTGAGAGGCTCAGGAACCATGCCAGGCCAGGCTTTCCCAAGAGTCTGAGGAAGCTGCAAGCTGTGAGAATTTCGGCGAGGCCGAGGTGGAAGGGTGCTCTATAGGTGTGGGGGTATCCAATCTTTTGACCCTGTGACATGTCCTCCACAGATGGACTGGACCATATTCATAGCACCTCTGGGGTGCATGGTCCCCCCTCAGGGCCACCTCAAAGGGAAGATAGGGTAGGGTAGAAGATGGCAGAAGACGGTTGGCAGGTCGCAAAGAGAAAGTGGGTAGCTCTGCCGTGACACATCAGAGGCCATGCCAGGAGCAGCATGCTCCATCTGCAGTTGGAAACAGCAACTCTGACGCTTTGTTTGGGGAACAGCCTGTGAGACTGGAAACAGGGATTCCAGTGAGGCGCCCCAAGGGGAGCAGACTGGGGAGGGAGGAGAGCCCCGAAGGACACCTCATTCTCCCTTCTGGGCGAGGAACTGTCTGAAGCCTGAGGAACTGTCAGGTCTGCACTTTAGGGACTGTGCTAACTCGGGAGAATGCAAATGAGCAGGAAGAAGGAAATACCTTTTGATCCTCCAGGTAGCATGGGGATAGGGCACAGGGCGACAAACAGAGGGCCCTATGCAATGCTCTACCTCAGAGCCACGTCCGAATCCATTTGAAAAGGGGGTAAGAAAGCCAGACAGGTGTGATTAAAGCACCTTGAAGGCTGAGGCAGGAGAATCGTGAGTTCAAGCAGTGCAGTGTAACCACTAGGCAGCCAGGGCTACAGGGCGAGATCCTGTCTCAGCCAAACAACAAATACCAAGCGAGGAGGAGGCTGGGAAAGGTGGCTGACTAGTTCCTGAGAGTCAGGCAGCCTGGCTGAGCAGGCGATAGACTCAGGCTGACAGCTGTCAGCTCCTGTCACCTGCTCTCTTCTCAAGTAGGTGAGGCTCAGTTCCAAGCACTGGGAATCCAGACGGGGTAAATAAAACAGCAGTCCTCGCCCCTGCAGGGAGCCACACCATACAGGGGGATAAATAAGAGAGAGTTCTTACTTTCCTGACTGCTAGGGAAGAAGCTAGGAGTCAGAGCTGGGGACAGCTAGTTTGTTTGTTTGCCTTGTTTTGCTTTGGAGGTCTTGATAATTAGTGCGAGCTGGCTTTGCACTCAGGAGCTCTCTTTCTCAGTCTCCCAAATGCTCTGGTTATAGACCTGTTCCAGCATACCACCACTTTTTTTTTTTTTTTTTTTTTTTTTTTTTTTTTTTTTTTTTTTTTTTTAGTGTTTTGAGACAGGGTTTCTCTGTGTAGGCTTGGCTGTCACTTTGTGGACCAGGCTGGCCTCGAACTCACAGAGATCCACCTGCCTCTGCCTCCCTGAATGCTGGGATTATAGCGGTGTGCATCCGTGTCTGGCTTTGTTGTTGTTTTTATTTTTATTTGTTTGTTTTGAGACAGGGTTTCTCTGTGTAGCCCTGGCTGTTCTGGAGCTCGCTCTGTAGACCAGACTGGCTTTTAAATCACAGAGATCCGCCTGCCTCTGCCGTCCAAGTGCTGGAATCAGAGGTGTGTACTGCCACGCCTCACTGTCTTTCCAGTTTTCAACTGTACTAGTTCTAGCAATTTCTTCCTGTTCATCTTGTGGCAGCGGATTTTAGAGTCCCAAGCACGCTAACTCAGGGCTGTACCGCCTGCCATGGCGGGTGTAGTTCTTGGTAGCAGCTTTATTAAGATAGATTTCACATTCCATGCAGGAGAACTCAGTGCTTTTTAGTCTCCCATGACAAGTACAACCTACGGTGCAAATCCTTCCTCACCACAGCCATGGCCCATGCCTTTAATCCCAGCATGTAGGAGGCGGAGGCAGGTACAGGCCGGTCTCTGAGAGAAGAGGCCAGTCCGGTCTATATAGTGGACAACCAGGACACCCAGGACTACTTAGAGAGATCCTATCACCAAACCAAACCAAACCAAACCAAACCAAACCAAACCAAACCAAACCAAACCAAACCAACTCAAGCAACCCCCCACAAGGCCAAGTCTGGGAAACACGTATAATTCCAGCACATGGGAGGTAGGAATCCAAGTTTATCCTCAACTGCATAGCAAGTTTGAGGCCAGCCTGAGCTCATGAGACCCTGTCTCCAAAGAGAATAGTACTGACAATCAGAGAAAGGAAAAGCGTGCATCCCAGAGCGGTCACCTCAGGTCCTGCCTTGCCTCAAGCAATCAGTAACCCTCTCAGCATTGTAGACTGCTTGCTCCTGGCACTTCCTGGGACAGGGGCATAGGGTATGTGGCTCTTTCGCCGAGCATATGTTCATAAGGATCACACGACGCCAGGCAGGTTCTCCCCCCGTTTATAGCAATGTCCTAGTGTACAGGAACGCCACATTTGCTCATCTGTGTGTCAGCTAATGGACAGGTCATTTCTTCTTTTCTTGTTTGTTTTTGTTTTTGGGACACAGGGTTTCGCTGTGGAACCCTAGTTGTTCTGGAACTCCCTCTATAGACCAGGCTGGCCTGGAATTCAAAGAAATTGCTTGCCTCAGCCTCCCAAATGCTGGAATTAAAGGCGTGTACCACCCCCAATGCTGGAGGGGCCAGTATTACTCTTTTTGGATGTTTTGTTTTTTCAAGATGGGGTTTCTCTGTGTACCCTTGGCTGTCCTGGACTTGGCTTTGTAGATCAGGCTGGCCTCAAACTCACAATGAACTGGCTGCCTCTGCCTCCTGAGGGCTGGGATTAAAGGCGTGTGCCACCACGCCTGGCTACCAGTACTACCCTTCAATCTCTCTAGAAGCAATCACCAGTGACAATTTGCCCCGAAACTTCCTGGTCACATACGTTAGATCTCATCACGCAGTCTGTCATATCACTGTGGGTGTGGGCCATGGCTTCGCCCACACGCTGGGCCATTGATCTCTCTTCTGGGTAAGGTAGACCTCACATGGCTGTAGACTCTGACTCCCGGGTTGGTGGGGGAGTCTGGTAAAGGGACTCTTACCTATCCATACATGTCCACATTCAGGTGTGGATGGGACAGTGAGAGGCTGGGAAGAGGCCACAATCAACAGCTCCAGCCCGCTCCGCTACGACCGCCAGATTGGGGAATTTACAGTGGTCAGGGCTGGCCTCTACTACCTATACTGTCAGGTAAGCCCTGCCTGCTCCGTGGGCAGGGCGGTGGCCAGGGGGAGAAGGGTTTGGCTTGGGAGGTAGGAAGAAGGGCAGGGTATGGGTGGGAGAGGGGGAGTGTGGCTTCCAGGAAGGAGGTGATGCCTGGCTTTGGAGTGGGCAGGTAGAGGCCCAGACTTGGCCCGCCTCTCCCTACACAGGTGCACTTTGATGAGGGGAAGGCCGTCTACCTGAAGCTGGACTTGCTCGTCAATGGTGTGCTGGCCCTCCGCTGCCTGGAGGAGTTCTCAGCCACAGCAGCAAGCTCCCCTGGGCCCCAGCTCCGCCTGTGCCAGGTGTCCGGGCTGGTGCCGCTACGGCCAGGGTCCTCCCTTCGGATCCGTACCCTCCCCTGGGCTCATCTTAAGGCTGCTCCCTTCCTTACCTACTTTGGACTCTTTCAAGTTCACTGAGGGTTCCAGCACTCCCAGATCCCCTAAACTTTATCCAAACAGCTCCCAAAGCACCATGACGACCCCTGACGCCACCTCGGAGCTGCTCTTTGCTCTTGTCTTCTCCTCCAGGGGCAGCTGGCTCCTCTTCACGTGTTTTCCCCTCCACAGAAGCATCGCTGTTCATTAACATCCCATCCCACCTCAACTGCCCACCTCACTAGCCCCCTAAGCCCCACTTATTCCTGACCCCCAGGCCATACCCCCAGGCCACTGTGTTTACTGACTGTGCAGCAGGCACTGAGAGGGACTGGACCTGGTAACAGGAAGCCAGAGAGCCTGGGACTGGGCCACAAGTTCCCAAATGTGAGGGGTAAGAGCCCGCCAGACACGAGCTCCTCCCTGGATCCCTGTGGATTTTGAAAAGATACTATTTTTATTATTATTGTGACAAAATGTTAAATGGATATTAAAGAGAATAAATAAAAGAGAATTTCTCTCTTCTTTGGGGTCCAGAGTAACTGAAGGTTAGGGAAAGAGGGGAACTTAGGCATTGGGGAGCAGGGACCTGCATGCCTCCAACTTCCAGTTTTGAGTAGGAAGCACAAAGGTACTAGAAAAAAAACAAACAGCAGAACACCTGGCCCTCTGCTCAAAGTACAGCAGAAGCAGGCTCTTCTCCCTTGCAGGCACATTTCCTCCTGCAAGGGAATCCCTGGCTGGGAGGAGCAGGGCCCCTCCTCTTGACAGCCTCAGGACACTCAGCAGTTGGGCAGGTGCTGGCACAGGCCCTGGCTAGGAGATGGGGTGATGGGGTGGGAGCCAGGCTGGGAGGGGGTTCAGAGACTCAGGAAGAACTCTGAAGCAGCTATGTGAGTCTGGGGAGCAATGCTATAGTGGCTGGGGGGCTTGGGGCTTTTTTCTTTCTTTCTTTCTCTTTGTCCAGAGAGCCTTATGTAAGAACTCTTCTTGGGAAACAGGAAGTCCAGCTTGCCAAGTTCAGCACAGGGAGTAGTGCAGGCCGGGTTCCAGCACACCCGGCCCAGCCTTAACCCCAGCACCCTGCCAGTTTCTTGTCCCTGGTTCTCCTTCCTGCTGGCCCCTAAATCCCTTTCTTTTAAAATCTCCAGTCACCCCTAACAAACCTCCTCAGAGATCTCACCATGTCTGACCCAGAGAATCTACCACGCTCACCTTCTGAACCTCAGTGCTGCCAATTCCTGCTCCTGGCACCATGCCCTGTAACCAACAGACCTTCCCACCTCCAGCTCAGGGGCTGTCCCTGGGCTCCTGAATGCTGGCCGCTCCTTCTGGGTGTCCTGGGCCACGCTGTCCTTCCTAGATAACTGGCACCAAAATATCCTGAGGCCTGGGGTGTGTGTACCAGAGTGACACCAGCTCTACAGTGGGGACCAGGAGTACTAACAGTACCTCTGGCTTGATTTCTTCCTCTCTCCCTTTTCTTCTCTAGTTCCTTTTTTATTTCTCCCTTGCGTAACGCGCTCTTCCCTTCTGTGCCTTTGCCTGTATTCCCACCCTCCCTGCTACCTCCCGGCCACCTCACTTCTGAGACCACAGCTGTTGGCAGGGTCCCCAGCTAATGCCAGCCTCATCTCCGGGCACCATGGGGGGCTCGGTCCGAGAGCCAGCCCTTTCAGTTGCTCTTTGGCTGAGTTGGGGGGCGGTTCTGGGGGCTGTGACCTGTGCTGTCGCACTGCTGATCCAACAGACTGAGCTGCAAAGCCTCCGGAGGGAGGTGAGCCGGCTGCAGCGGAGCGCAGCTCCTTCCCAGAAGCAGGGAGAGTCTCCGTGGCAGAGCTTCGGGGAGCAGGTGGGTAGAGGGGGACGTGACTCTGCGGCTGGAGGGCGAAGGCAGAGGGGTCTCCGGGCTCTTGGTCTGCAAAATTTCAGCTGGGTGCCAGAGGTGGCCTTGGATTTGGAAGTCGAGGGCACAGCCGTTCCAGGAAAACTAACTGAAAGATTAGCGCTAAAGATTAGCAAGAACATCCTGAGAGGCCATCAGTGCCCAGGCTAGGGGCCTAGGCACAGGTACAGAAATTTCAGCAATTCCTAGTGTGGAGGAGGGCGGGCAGTGAAGGTTGTCTAAACGCTGGTCTTTCGTGAGCAGGGTCCTGCTGTCCAGGAAGCCTGGGAGGATGGCGAGAAACCTCGGAGACGGAGAGCAGTACTCACCCAGAGGCGCAAGAGTGAGTGCGCCCTGGGTTCGGTGGGGTGGGAGGTGAGCCGGAAGCCTGGGAATGTTGACCGGGAGCTGACCAGAGGTGGAGGGTGGACTCCAGGGGCAGGGCCAACACTGCTGCTTCCTCCTTCCCTCTCAGAGAAGCACTCCATTCTGCATCTTGTTCCAGTTAACCTTACCTCCAAAGGTGAGCCTGACTTTAAACAATGGCCTTGTGGGAGGGGCAGCCACCAGGAACTGTGGGGCTGGGGCCAAGAGAATCCTAGAAATGAAAATGGGGAGAGCTCGTGTGTCTGGGTGTAGAGAGCTGACCTGCCACACTGCTCACCTCCAGAGGACTCTGATGTGACCGAGGTGATGTGGCAGGCAGCTCTTCGGCGTGGGGGAGGCCTGGAGGCCCACGGATGCGTGGTCCGAGTCTGGGACACTGGAATTTATCTGCTGTACAGCCAGGTAACTACAGACAAGCCGAGCCCACCATGTGGACATGGAGGCCAGCTTGCCATTCTCCTCAAGTACTCTGATCCCTCTGCTCAGCCCAAGCTCAGAAGACCTCTCCTTATTGCCCCGCTCCTGTATCGGGCTCCCGAGTCCTCGAAGGACTGAGCCTTGCCGGCCTGGTTTTCCTTAGCATCTTCTCCCTCCCCCGACAGGTCCTGTTTCATGATGTGACTTTCACCATGGGTCAGGTGGTGTCTCGGGAAAGCCAAGGGAGACAGGAGACTCTTTTCCGATGTATCCAAAGTATGCCTTCTGATCCCGACCGCGCCTACAATAGCTGTTACAGTGCAGGTGAGAACTATGGGGTCAGAAGGGGGTTGACGTGAGCAGAGCAGGTAACATGGAGCAGAGCTGACTTCCTGTGGACAGTCAGGGTAGCGAGTTGGGTGTAGGGGTAAATCTGAAGAATGGAGAACAAGATGCCCAGGCCCTCACAGGGAGTAACTGTGAACAACTAGGAGCCTGTGAACAACTAGGTTCACGCCCATAATCACAACACTAACAAAGCTGAGGGAGGAGGCTTGCTGAAGGCCAGTCTGGGCTATAATATGAGGCTGTCTCAAACACTGAGAGGCCAGTGAGATGGCTGGGTTACTAACGAGGCTTGTTCTGTCCCTCCCACCTCACCACCTGAACTTGATTCCAAGAACTCGTGTAGGAGAAGGAAGAAACCGAGTCTCAAAAGTCTTCTGTCCTCTACACATGTACATGTTCCCTACCCAAGCTGGGCACGGTGGTGCAGGCCCTAATCCTTGCCTCCTTGGGAGGTAGAGGTGGGCCGGTTGCTGTGAGGTCAAGGCCAGATTGGTCTACAAAGCGGGTCCAGGACATCCAAGGCTACACAGGGAAACCCTGTTTTGAATCTGGACTCCCCCCCCCCCCCAAAAAAAAAATTAAAGCATAATATCAGAATGGAGGAGGGACGGGAGTAGGCAGAAGGAAACGTCTGAGACCTGGATGGCCGTTTGAGCATCTGGCCGCTCATCTTTTTCCTCAGGTGTCTTTCATTTACATCAAGGGGATATTCTCACTGTCAAGATCCCACGGGCGAATGCCAAACTTAGCCTTTCTCCGCACGGAACCTTCCTGGGGTTGGTGAGACTCTGACTGTTATTTAAGGGGTTCGAACCTGGGAAGACCAATCTGGATCTCGCCCCACAGAGGACAAATGGTCAAATACAGCCCTCCTTGCTTTTGACCTGGTGACTCTTGTTCCTCCCTTTGCCTTTTCTGCTCCCACTCCCTGGGCCCTGACTTCATGGATATTAAAATGGTAGAATATTTTGCGTTTATCTTCCACCTAGCCCCAAATCCTTTTGTTGTGTGTATTGAGGGGGTTTCGCGGACTGTGCCAAGCCTTGTGTACTCGCCAGGGTCCAGTGCCATGCGTTAGGAACAGCACCACCATCTAGCGGCAGGTTGAGGACAGAAGGCAGCCTCGGCTAGGAAATAGCCGTGTCCTGGCCACAGCGCTTCAAGCCTCCTCAATCTACAAGCCCGGCTTTCACTTCCATTGTGTCCCAATTCTCGTTACTAACTAGGAAGATGCGCTTACGAAGCGTTGGCCTGCTTGCCTTCCATGTTCCCCACGCCCCTGGTAAACCTCCACGCTGGGCCTGGTGCTTCACACCTTCAATCCCACTACTCGCGAGGCGGATCTCGCGAGTTCGAGGCCAGCCAGGGTCACACGGGTTGAGAGCCTGTCTCAAACAAACAAACAAACAAAAACAGCAACAAAATACTCTCCAAGACCGGAGTGGTATCCAGGAAGGTCATATGTACTGGACGCCCTGCCACTGCTTAATCAGGCCCCGCTTAAAGTTAAAAACAAAATTCGTCGGGCCCCGTCCCGCCTCCATGTCCCCATGTGCCTAGCCACAGGCCAGTTGCTGGAGGGCCCGGACATCCCGGCCCTGCTCCGGGAAGCCCACGGGATCACCCCGAGCCCGGGCCCCGGAGGCGCACGGAACAACAGACGGCTACGACGCGGAGCGTGGGGCCGGGCGAGCGGCGCGACGCGGAGCGTGGGGCCGGGCGAGCGGCGGGACCGCGGCGCGCGGACAGCCGGGACGGCGCGCGCAGGCGCGGCTCGGCGC